ATTATGAGGTCATTGTACCTTTGACCTCATAATATTTTCCGTCGTTTTAAAATAGATCCGGTGAAATTACTTTCTTCACTATTGCATGGCTGTGTTTGTAACCGGTAAATTTGAATTTAGAAAAAAACAATACTATCATATTTCTCCATCTGTTGGCAGCAGAGGGATGGAGCAGGCTGATACCCTTAACATGTTTCATCATATATTTTCTAATAAAATAATATTTCACAATCTAATGGCCAAAACTTGTGCATGGCTAAGGTTAGTTAGGTTTGTTAAGGGCCTGCATACACGGAGGCCTCAGCGTCTGTCTTTCACGGGGGTGAAAACGCAACCTTTGAAAATATGCCTCTAAAGTGGGGGAAAAATAAAAGGCTGCGCGACAGGAGGCTGTATCGCAGACATGTGAACAAAAAGATGCAAACTCTCTTGCTCGCGATGACCTCACCACTTTCCTCTCATAGGCGCAGTAGCCACGAACAAACATATTACAATGGCGGCAGATCAACTTGTGCTATATGTGCAAACAGAACCTTCATATGACACATTGTGTGTCCGTGCCAAAAGAGCGCGCAAAACCAAAGGTAAGTTGACATTTTCAGTTTTGCTAATACTGTTAAATGAAGAAGGATGTTGGTGCATTCTTTTCCGGCAACCTGAGGAGGATGTTGTTGAGGAAGTGCCCACTACTGGCCTGGTGTTTGAACTACATTGTTTTCACTCGCCGTGCTCTTCGAATCCCGAGTGGCATCAACCATCCATTTTCTTCCGCTTCATCCGTTGCCGGGTCGCGGGGGCAGCAGTCTAAGCAGAGACGCCCAGACTTCCCTATCCACACACCCTTCCTCCAGCTCGTCCGGGGGGACCCCAAGGCGTTCCCAGGCCAGCTGAGAGACATAGTCCCTCCAGCGTGTCCTGGGTCTTCCCCGGGGCCTCCTCCCGGTGGGACGTGCCCAGAACAGGGAGGCGTCCAGGAGGCATCCGGAACAGATGCTCGAGCCACCTCAACTGGTTCCTCTCGACGTGGAGAAGCAGCGGCTCTACTCCGAGCTCCTCCCGTGTGACTGATCTCCTCACGCTATCTCTAAGGGAGCGCCCAGCCACTCTGCGGAGGAAGCTCATTTCGACCGCTTGTATCCGTGATCTCGTTCTTTTGGTCATTACCCAAAGCTCATGACCATAGGGGAGGGAAGATTGACCGGTAAATCGAGAGCTTTGCCTTTCGGCTCAGCTCCCTCTTTACCATGACGGTCCAATACAGTGACCGCATCACTGCGCACGCTGCACCGATCCGCCTGTCAATCTCACGCTCCATTCTTCCCTCACTCGTGAACAAGACCCTGAGATACTTGAACCCCTCCACTTGAGGAAGGACCTCTCCACCCACCCGGAGCGGGCAAGGCACCTTTTTCCGGTCGAGCACCATGGCCTCGGATTTGGAGGTGCTGATTCTCATCCCAGCCGCTTCACACTCGGCTGCAAACCGCCCGAGTGGCATAATTTTTGGCTAATTCCTATAATGTTCCTTTTGGGGATTTGTGTCCTCTGCATTTGACCCCTCCTGCTTCCCAGGGCTTCTGTTATTGTTAGTTGTCGCCAGGTCGCTGGGGATATTGATGCTCGGATTGCATAGGATTGTACCTTTCAGACATGTTTTTTGTGGTTGGGAAAACTGAACCACTGAAGAAACCCATACGCTGATACGGGGAAAACATGAAAACTCCACTCAGTTTCAACCAGGATTCAAACTTTTCTTGCTGAGAAGCGATAGTGCTAACCTCTCTGCCAACATCTATAATATAAGATTTAGGACTTAAGCTTTTTTAGTGAATATTTATATTTAAAGTGTTACTTTTATTCTGTTCTTTTTTACTGCACAGAGAAGAATTGCAGACATTTTACACGGATATTTTGTTAGTATTTGATTTGGATGCAATCGGTCACCCACCACCTGGAGGTTTTTCCCTTTTTTTTAATCTTCTGTAATGTTTTGCGACTAGTCTTCGAGCAGATCTCATTTTCCAACTCCACATGCAAATACCACAGCTCATCTGGTAGGCTTGGCAATGAAAACACAGCTAAGATAGTGTTCATTTCCTCCAGGCGCGGGATGGAGCACAAGCTGTCCAAGTTCAACACGCAGCCTGCCTCTCCGCACAAGTAAAACATATAAAAGAACTGTCAGAGGGAGTGAGTGATGAATGGTGCAATGTAGTTAGAATATACAAAAAAACATTCAAAGTCACACTGCCACTATAAGGCTACACCAGCAAATAACTTTCTGCTATGTCTATTTCTCCTGCTGCACGTATAGTTTCTCTGACTTTGATGTAGGGCCCTTTTTTGACAGTTTAATTGATTTTGGTCTGTGTGGTGTGACCTCAAAACAACATGCAAGGCAAAAAATATAGCCTCATGAATGCCTTTCCATATTCACAATGACAAAACAAAGCAAATAAGGTGGCCAAGGAGCACCATTTGTAACACAGCAATCTAGGAAAGTCCTGTTCGAGCAAAAATATGACAGCCGTAACTGACTGGCGTATTAAGTGGACTGCAAAGTGACCATTATGTATTGGTTTGTCTGTATTGAATAATGCAGCTGTACTGAGTAAGGACTGCATTTACGTTAGAATCTTGAAAGGGATAAAACTCTAAATATTTGAATTAATAAATACAACTTTTCCTGTTGATGGTGCAATGGGTTCGGATGGGGTTCGCCACCTGCTTGTTGCCGTACATACAGTTCGTTATTGCTTTTCTCTGAATGTCACTCGGAATGGTTTAACATTTGTACATTCTTCAATTTAGGATGATTTTAGCGCTTAAAAACCTAATTCTCTTAGAACTAGAATCACCTCTCCACTGATGTAACTTCTCACATGTTGATTGAAAAGTCTAGAACAGAGGCAAGGCAAGGCAAGGCAAGGCAAGTTTATTTGTATAGCACAATTCATACACAAGGCAACTCAAAGTGCTGAACAAGATAGCATTAAAATCATAAATAATCACAGAACATTAAAAAGAAAGATAAAAATATAAAATCCCTCAGTTGTATGCACAGCTAAACAGCACAGTTTTTAACTTGGTTTTAAACATAGTCAGAGAGGAGGCCTGTCTCACATCTTCAGGAAGAGTGTTCCAGATTTTAGCAGCATGAATCTGAAAAGCAGCCTCCCCAGGTTTAGTTCTGACTCTGGGCACTAACAGGAGTCCAGTCCCTGTGCTCCTCAGAGTCCTGGCTGGTTCATATGGGACTAACATGTCACTAATATATTTTGGTGCGAGGCCATGGAGAGACTTGTACACAAGCAGAGCTGTTTTAAAGTCTATTCTCTGAGCCACAGGAAGCCAGTGCAGAGACCTGAGGACCGGACTAATATGGTCGTACTTCCTGGTTCTAGTCAGGACTCAAGCTGCTGCATTTTGAATGTACTGCAGCTGTTTTACAGCCTGTTTGGACAGACCTGTGAGCAGGCCATTGCAGTAGTCTAACCTACTGGAGACAAATGCATGGATAAGAATCTCCAAGTCTGCTTTAGACACTATGTTTTTGATCCTGGAAATGTTTTTTAGATGGTAAAAAGCTGCTGATGTTACTGATTTGATGTGGCTATTAAAATTTAAGTCTGAGTCCAGTATTACCCCCAGAGTGTAAGACAATTTCAAGAAAAACAACTTGAAGAACACAAGCACAAAGAGTTCCTCCCCCAGGACAGTTTTGGATCTGAACTATGTATAATAAAGTCTTTCACTAGGGCCAAGAATATTGCACATATCTTGACAATAGAATGCTTGCAGGCAATGATAAATATTCACTTGGATGTTTCAAGTGTAAATATTTCCATGCAAAAACAGTGTCTAAACTTCAGTAATTCATGTAAATTACATGTTAACTTTTGCTAATTATATCTAATTGCTTCGTCAAAGAGCTCCTCTTTTTACATTGTATTGTAAGTTAAAGTAAGGCACCGTCTGTCAACAACCTTTTAACGGTTTGAGAATTGCAGAAGGCTCTGATGAAAATGTATTGTTTTGCATGTGTCCCAGACCTTGAGGATGCAGGAGTTCTGTTCATAAACAATGAAGCGTCAACAATGCTTTTGCTTTTGTGAATATTTGGATTGAATTTAATTTCTCTACAATATAATGAACATTTTTTGTATGCTTTATGTTTGCTCTTGGAAAATAGCCGCTGGATGTTCTCAATTTGGATGAGCAGCGACTCTTCTCCAAGCTCCTCCCTTGTCTGACCCAGACTGAGCTACTCACCTATGGAGACTGTGGTGGAAATTCATTTCATTTCGACAGCTTGCAATCTTGTACTTTGAGTCATTTCTCAAAGATCATGACCATAGAGTGGGATTGATTGACCGGTAAATGAGAGCATTGGCTTTCGACTATGTAGGAAATGTCTTGTGAAATTGATGCAGCAGAGATCAGCATAGTTTCCCATATATTCTACCAATAAACATACAAATCAGTACAAACCGCTCAAAATCCCACAAACGTTTCATATCCTGGTCTGTCAAATATGACTTTATTGCTACATCTGTAGGCAATAAAGACAGAAATAAAACCACCATTTCCTTGCTACCTTTTTGATAAATTCCCAATTTGAATGGTCCATGTTGTGCGATGACATTATTATGCTCAGGATAGTCATTGTTCACAAATAAACATGACAGGAAGAAATAGAAGTACATTATGAACATAAGTCAAAAAGTTGCTTTGAGTGCAGGTACATGAGGAGGGGATGTGCGCTCGCATTTACACACTGAATGAATTCCCTGTGCTGTAGAAGTTGGGACTCGGTTTCCTGTTTGCAGGTTAGATAATTGCTGCCAGTGTCTCCAGCTCACATCTGAGTCTTCTTTGCATGCGCTCTGAAACACACACACAAACATCCGAGCTTTGATACAAATCCCATGGTGAGCTTCTATCATCTGCGGCAATAACGAGCTGTCATTGGCCCTCAGTGATCTACCTGTCTGTGTGTGTCAGCGCACAGGCAGGCTGACTGAGCGTTGGGGGCCACAGCGCCTCTCCACTTCCAAGGCCTGCCAGTCAGAGCCGGGGGCACCTGAGAGGGCCTGGGACAGGGGAGGGGGTCTTCTGAAGCCCTGACACCAGATCACAGACAGGAGACAAACACAGAGTATGTCAACGTTTGACCCCGCCCCCGCACATGCAGCCGACGGCGCGCTTAGGTGTGGAGGTGTGACAGTTAAATGCCAAATGTCTTGTCTGAGGAGGATTCCTATCTGACCAGCTCCCATTTTGTCGATAAGCACGGAATGGAAGTTATTAAAGTTGAAGAGAGTATAAACATGCGCAGCAACATGGTGGAATGAGTTTAGGCTAACCTTGGATATTAGGAATCTGAATGTCACAATGATACAAGATCGCTAAATAAGCCTCACTGATAAGAAGCTGAAGCAGCCATCATGACACCTATACGTAATGTATTCTATCCACATTGCATAAGATATATTATCTAGGCTCCTTTATTGTGTCGGTGATAAATGCAGGACACATTAACTTCACCAAATGTGTTTCTCCTATTTCCACAATAAGGGCCTTACTTTGGTCTGACCTTCAGCGGGCTGCAAAGCAAGCACAAAATATGCATTTAGAGGAAGCAGCAGGAGTGGAAGTGAGGCCGTACCAGATTGCTTTCTTTTGTACGGCGTCATGCAGGAACATGCATCACTGTCCGCCTTCAACAAACAGCCAGTAATATGCAGAAATATTAAGTAGGATCAGCAAATAAATATATGGAGTGGAGCTAGGGCTGTGACAGATGTTGGCTATTTGCATGGAGCTCCTCTGTCATGTCATTAGCCAAGTCTCTGCGCCAAGCTGCAAAATGAATGAACTGGCTGCGTGGAGCAGTCACATATTCAAAGTGAGCAGACTTGAGGTGCTTTGTGCCATTGAAGCTTGAGCTGAAAAGTATCTACAACATCCGCACAAACACATAGCTTTTCTCAGGGCAGGTAACAATAGTGTGTTAGTGTGAAGAGTTAAAGCTGCTGGCCTGGCTGCTGCACTGAACCTACTGTGACACTGTTATGGACAGGTTTACACCAGCCTTACACCAGAACCGCTATAACGATGTGTGGAGGAGCCCACAGCTATGCTTGATAATCACTGAATCTGCATTTGACCCATCCTTCAACTGAGACAGCTTGAATATCAAATGCCACTGTGGAGCCATCTGAATACATTAAGGTTAGACTTTGTCAGGACTTCTATAACAGGCAAGGTGCATTATGGGGGAGACTGTGTCCATGGAAAATCTCCCTAGACACAAGAGAAAGTTTTGTGTCTGGGTGGTGTGCTTTTCATTCTTCCACTAAGAGATACAACAGGCATTGTATTTGAGAAGATCAATTCTATACAGTTGTATACTTTACATCTAGAGAATGATTAATAATCTTGTGTTTTTGTTGGATTATTTGTTATTTGAGATAACTCCGTGTTCTTGTAAATTTGGAACACACTAGTAGATTTTGGAGAAGATCCAGCAAAGGAATATTTTTTTTAAGAAATGGAAATGTGCCTCTTGGTGCAGGTCTACGAGTGCTCTTCTAGTTTGGAAACTGTAACTTTATGTCTATTGTTTTCATCATTATGTTTGATTTGAGCTACAAAAACAACACACTTTTAGGTTCACAGTTCTTTTCAAAACTTGGCACCACCAAATGTCTTGCAGCCAGATAGAAGCCGGCATCCACAGTTGGACCTCACTGCATGAAATTTCTCCACAGGCTCCGAGTTGTAGCTGGTAGGTTTCCAACCTTTGAACCTGCTATAAAACACTATATGCTTCAACAATTTATGTGGTGCGTGCCTTATCAATATATAATACATAGTCAGTACAGAACATGTATGCGCCACACTCCTGCTTTGTATTTGCTCCTCTGTCTTTTCTTGGAAGGCAGGAGCTGAGCAATATATTAAAGATTGATTCAAGCAGTGAAGAAGAGACTTGTATTTTCATTCTTACTTTGGTCAAGGTTGTTGGAGTTTCCATCTTGCCAAAAAACATACAGTACGTACTCCTACCTTCTACTACATAGCTTCAGGGACGGCCATGTCAGACCTCCACCTCGCCAGAACATAAATGAGTAAAGAGAAAATACAGAAGGCAACAATCTCCTTTATTGACCCCCTTAGGAGCGCATGGGGCTCTTTACAATCAAGCATTGCATTGTTCAAAGCTCGTCGCAGCCACCTCCTAGTCTGCACTAATAGCGTGGGTCATCAAGCACCTCTCAAGATGGAAGGGAAAAAAATGATATATTGATTTGAAAACGTCTTGTTCTGTTATTTTCAATGCTTTTTCATCTGTATTTTTTTCCTCCACTAAGATGCGGGAGTGCCTGGGGTCATGGTTGGGGGACTATGGGAGGTTTTGTGTTGTTTCTGTTTTTTTTGCCTGGCCATTGTATGTGCAGAATGTGTGTGCGCGTGCATGTATCAAATCTTGTCAGGTGCCGAATACATACGGGGGAGGCAGGAGAGTCATATATCTGACAAAGTGTAGCCAATAAAGTATAATTCATGGCGGTTACAGTGCCCATGGATCGTAGTCATTACTCTTGTGTTGTGCGCTCTGAGTATATCGGGCTTCGGAACAACAGCCCTCATCACTATATTGATTGTCTGGCATCTTGAAAAACATGATTTTTTTTCACCTTTTTTTCTTAAGATAGTTTGGTACAGCCAAATGTGAAAAGACAGATCCAGACATAAGCCAAGGGTTGAATAGCATTGAACACGGAGAGCATGCATTTTCACAATTCTCAAAGTAAGTAACTTATCTTTATTTATAGAGAGCGCCTTTCACAGACCAGAGTCACAAAGCGCTTTACGATTGTTGTGAGCATTAGTCTCTCACTCCACACATGGGAGTGAGATCGCCGGGCGGCACGGTAGCTGAGTGGATAGCACTCTCGCTTCTCAGCAAGAAGGTCCTGGGTTCGAATCCCGGTCGGAACAGGGCCTTTCTGAGTGGAGTTTGCATGTTTTCCCCGTGTCTGCGTAGGTTTCCTCCAGGTACTCCGGTTTCCCATACCACTAAAAACATGTACAATAGGTCTGGCCTGTACTGGCGACCATGCTCCCATCTCTGTGTGGAGTGAGAGGACAAATTCCCAAAAAATAACCATTGTAATCCACTTTGTGACGCTGGTAAGTGAAAGGCGGTATATAAATAAAATGAAGATTACATACAGGAGACATAGGCCAGACCTATTGTTCATGTTTTTAGTGGTAGAGGAAACCAGAGCATTCAGAGGACATCTACGCAGACATGGGGAATGGGGAGAACATGCAAACTCCACACAGAAAGGCATGGAGGTGGAATTGAAGCACACGTGCTAACCACTGTGCCACCTTACCGCCCTAAAAGTAGGTAATATTTACATTTTAAATTACATCTACATATTTTACACTTGTCCCCAGAAACAAGCTCTGATTATCTGGCCTCTGAAACAAAATCTGAAGTGGATTTATTCTTAATTAAAAATACAATGGGCATGATGTCTACAATATATATTTTTTTAAACACTCCAATTAGAGAGTACAATGTGTTTCTCATTTGGGGCTGCCATGTCCCAAAATTTGAAAGTTACACCCCCAACCATTTATCAAAAGTTGTAATATTTATAGAGTTCTGAAAAGTACAAAAACACCGTTTCTCTCCACAGTTTATTCACAAATCCTATACTAGTAAAGGTCAAATCTTCAAAACCGCTACATTTTTCCAACTCCCAGCCCACACAAGGAGAGAGCAGTGGTCTTGTTGCTAGCAGTTTGTCTTCACTACTCTCATGTCTTGTAGGGCAGTATAGACTGGGGGTCCCCTGGCAACTGCGCACGGCCCCGTATAGTGAGAGAATGTCACGGGGCAAGTCTTGGTGAGTGAGATAAACTGTCTGCGCTGCCTGTGTCACGGTGCCTTCCACTCCAACACTCTTCTCCACACTAGCCTGCTTTGTCAGCAAAAGAAAATGGGGAAGAAAAAAATAGAAAAGAGGTCCCACAGTTGCTTGTCTGTGATGCTCTGCTAATGTGTTGCATGTGAAAGAACATTTTCCCGTGATCATCATCCATCACCAGCCTCCGGAGTGGTCCAGCGCGGAGACGACTCGAGCCCTTGAGGGGAATTGAGTTGTCGCCGATGTTCCTTGTCAGCTCGCCTCCTCACTCTCCTGTCTCCTCCCATGTTTCCTTATCACTCCTTGTCAAAAACGTAATGTTTTGGGGAGGGAGACTGCAAGCGAAAGGCCGTAGAACTCTGACACCGAGCCGTGAGAACAGATTTGCCGGTGCTCCGTAAGCAGGGCAGATAAAAAAGAGGAGGTTTTTGACAGTCGATCAGAAAGTTCTGCAGCCCGTGGACAGGAAAGACTTTGCTGGAGTTTTACTGTTTTAGTTTCAGAATTTTAATTTTATGGATGTTGATGGGTGTGCAATAAACTCGCCGGAAGAACATGATAGTAAACAAAAGATTAAAGTTGGAGTATCAAACCTTTTGTTTCTTAAATATTGTTTTGGCCTCAAGAGAAAGGGCTCAGTCCAGTGAGCAAATAAGACCACAAAATACTGTCTTAATGTTATGAGAAAACCAGTGAGGGCGGGTCTCGGCTCAAAAGTGGCCAAAATGACGTGCGCTGACATGCTTGCAATCCCACCCCGGGCCGATGGGGGTGGACCCGGAATAAGAATTAGCCAATGCTAACATATAGCATCTTGTTTCCTCTCAAAAACGTCTTTACAGGATGGTCCAAAAGTTGGCTCTTGTGTGTCATTGCTGAGGGGAGTGAATTTTTTTGGACCAGTCTAATTCAGTTGCTGTGAATTTTTGAAGGCACTCGTTCAAATGAATGGGGCTAGTGCCGGCTGACGCATGCGCAGATGTGTTTTTTCACATTTTCCAGCCCCCACGGCCATTTTGAAACCTCCCATAGACCGCGGAAGTTGTGGCCTTGGATATAGAACGGCGGAGATAGGCGTGACTACGTCCGTTAATATTTACAGTCTATGGAGAAAACATGTTATCTTTTGCTTACCTGTAAGAAACAGCCCAGAGAGTCACTATTTGTCCCTTTGGGATGAGAGCTGAAGGGAAAAAGAGAGGAGGACCACCTTCACTCAGTCAGAGTGACGGCATCGGAAAATATGCCCATATACACTGCTCACAAAAACTTAGGGAACACTCAAAAAACACATCCTAGATGTCAATCAATTCGATTTTTTGGGTGAAAAT